AATAAATAGAATGAATAATTTTTAACAGCATATTTTGTTACTGAGATTATTTAGTTTTTTGTGAACACTGATACTTTTGGTGAGTTTTTTCTGCAGGGTTTAAATCAAATAATTTTTTATTTAATATTTATTTAAATTATTTCTCCTTAAAAAACTTATTTTGTGGGGGCACCTGGGTGGCTCAGTCAGTTGAGCATCCAACTTTGGCTCAAGTCATGATCTCACAGCCCATGGGTTTGAGCCCCGTGTCGGGCTCTGTGCTGACAGCTCAGAGCCTGGAGCCTGCTTCAGATTGTGTGTCTCCCTTTCTCTCTGTCCCTCCCCTCTCTTGCACCCTGTGTCTCTCTCATTCTCAAAAATAAATATTTAAAAAAACCTTATTTTGTGGAACTTAATTCCATTTATTTCAGCATTTTTTTCCAAACAATCCAGACAGGAATTGTTATATTTAGCCTTCTGGTGGATTATACATTTATTTGCATTTTGGGGCACTAAAAGTAACACTGTAGAATATGGTGTTCTCCTTGACAACAAATCACAGATTCTGTAATAAGTTATATGTGAGGGGGTTTTTTTTGACAGAAAAAAAATCTTTAACCCTTTTTGACAAACTTTATTCTCTATGTTAACCCTGGGATTCCTTCAATTCTGTTATTCATTGTAGTAAGTAAAATTTCCCTCTTTTTTTCATTGCTAAAGGTTTAAAATATGTGCATTTATTCTAGCATTTCAAGATTTTTGTAGGAAAAGTTGTTTGTTTCATCCATGTCATTCATGGTTTTGTATATCAAAATTTGATTTCTATTCAGTTTGGGTTTTTTAGACTTCTGAGCCTAAAAGTTGATAACACCTCTGTTTGTTTTATTGCTTTAGCATTTGAAAAGAATTTTTTTTAATTTTTTTTAACATTTATTTATTTTTGAGACAGAGAGAGAGAGAGAGAGAGAGAGAGAGCATTAACAGGGGAGGGTCAGAGAAAGAGGGAGATACAGAATCTGAAATAGGCTCCAGGCTCTGAGCTGTCAGCACAGAGCCCAATGCGGGGACCTGAGCCGAAGTCGGATGCTTAACCGACTGAGCCACCCAGGCGCCCCTGAAAAGAATTTTTCTGAGTAAATGATTTTTTGTTTGTTTTTAAGAATTACACTAGCTCAGGGGCGCCTGGGTGGCGCAGTCGGTTAAGCGTCCGACTTCAGCCAGGTCACGATCTCGCGGTCCGTGAGTTCGATCCCCGCGTCGGGCTCTGGGCTGATGGCTCAGAGCCTGGAGCCTGTTTCCTATTCTGTGTCTCCCTCTCTCTCTGCCCCTCCCCCATTCATGCTCTGTCTCTCTCCCAAAAAATAAATAAACGTTGAAAAAAAAAAAAAAAGAATTACACTAGCTCTATTGGTTGCTGTCACTGTAAATTAATACCTTAGGACACCATCTCTGAATCTACGATGCTTTCCACTGCCAACATCAATAGCTATTAAATATTTAACTACTTTTAAAAATCTGTAGTTTTACCATTTTACCGAACATAAAACGAACCTGACACCTTTCTACTGATGCAAATGTTGGTGTGTCTCTTTCTCATAGAATAACAGTGTCTTTGCCCTTTGTTTTCCAGCTGTGGGCTGTTATCTTAAAAAAAAATAACTATTTATGTTACACCGATATAATATATTAAACCCTAGTTCTTTGTGGAACTCCAAAGTTACTCTTTGGGAATTCAAGTAGATTACTTAAAGTGAGTTCTGCTTTATTTACATAATTAACTTAAATTAGCATGATTTGTCATTGGAGTGAAAAATCACATAATCTATTTTTTCTAATTTGTCTTTTTTTTAACATTCAGGGTTTTTTTTTTTAATTTTTAGTTTATCCACTGTGAAGATGATGCTAAATACTTTCTTATATTGACTTAAATTGATGATAAAATTTGAGATATGTCATTCAGCTTTGTATAAATGCAAATTACACATGTTGTCTTATAAAGCCTGTTTTCTCCTTGGATGGCTTTTCAGAAAGACACCATCCAGATATATTGATTTTCTATTTGGATTTTGTTAGATTGGCTTAAAAGCATCTTGTGAACTGGCCACACCAAGCCAATTTAAAAAATAATTTTGAAAAGAGGCTCCATCTATTACACACAACAAATGTAGATATATTTCAGGTAATTATGGCTCTAGGTCTGTTCTTTCTCAAGAATGCAAACTTTATTCTCATTTCTAATTCCAGTTTTATGTCAGTTATTAACATAATGAAGATTCTTTCTCTCATCTCTAGATTTCTAGATTATTCCTGAACAAAATGACTGATTCAAAGTCTATAATAATATGATGCCTGGGATGACTTTAAACTAGTATACAATCATCTCTCAATTGTGTTTAATTTAAAATTCCACTGTCTCTTTAGATGAAAACGTTCCTTCCAATCTTTTTAAGAGCTTCAAGATTTTTCCATCTAAGCATTTCAGGTTCCTCCAACACAGCCTCTGTAATTAGTGGCTCCAGGCCAGTAAATTCATCCTGCCTGTCAGTGCCTCTGTTTCTGCTAGCTTCAGCCCATGATGTGAAAGTAAATCATTACAACTGGCTTCCCAGACTTGAAACTGAATTTGACAAACAGTCTTTGGGAGTTATATAGGATGAGAATGTGAGATACAGATAGCAATCACACCTGTGTAACCTCATTACACATATTCAGTTCCCACCGACTTCAAAGATAGTCATGGGTATATAAGAAAAAGCAAAATTTGTCACTGGATTCCTAATATGTCTCTAATGGCATACAGAAGGCAACATGCTTCTCATTGAGCACTGGGAGTTCCAGGTTCCAAGTAATGAATATCTTTTATTTGCTATTTAAATTATTCCAAATATATCTCATTTCAAATAGAGATTATTATTCCAAATAGATCTCATTTCAGTCCACAATGCCTCAAGAGTGTAATTTCAAAAGCATAATTATGAGAAATAAAACGTTCATGAATTTATGGTACATTGCGAAAGTTAGAAGTAAAGTCAGCAGAAAATGATGAAACAAACTCAGAAGATATTAGAACAAAGAAAATTAGAGATCTTTTAATACCATGCCTTCATTTTACCTACGAGAAAGCTCAGGTTGCAGGAAGAAAACGAAAGCCTAGGTCAAAGAACTAGTCACTGACTGACCTGGAATAAAAATCAAGTCTTGTGATTTTCATTTTAATGTTTTCCATCTCATATTAGTGATTTTCAGGGGAAACAAACATATAAATTAAACTTTTATAATTTCTAATTTTTACACAAATTTAGGATTTTTTCCCAAGATCGTTATTTTATCAAAATGTTTTCCTTCTTTACAATTATAAATTCCAAATGATTGGCATGTTAATGTGGATTTTGAAGTCCAAGTTAATTACTTTGAAAAAGTAACCCTATTAATATGTTTATTAGTTTACTAAAAGTTACTGCAATGATCACTTTATAAGTCCTGTTTAGAATATTTTTAGCCTCCTCTTGTTCTTTCAGAGTCGCTTTTAAAATTCAAAAAATTACAGGCAGAAATGCGCTTCACTTGCAAAAGAATGATAAGCTCGGCCGTATGTTCCCCTCAAGCTTCCTTGTCATGGTCTCCTCAAGTGTGCTATAGCCAGAAGACACTGGGGCAGTGTAGCCTTTGGTCTCTAATTAGTTTCATGCCTATCATTCCAGCATTCAAATACAAATGAATTTTCAAACTTCTTTTAAAACTGAAGACACTGATTGACTTTTGGCTGTTGCTTAAAAAAAACATCCTGAGGAAATGCATCCTTTTTACCTGCACATTCCTGACCTCATAAAAGAACGAGTACTCACAATGGCTTGCAGGTATTATTTATTACTTTTAAGGAGAATAGAGCATCTTGAAAATGCACACACCCCCATAATATCAGTACTTCCAGTGATATAAAATGAAATGAATGAACGAATAAAAAACAAAATATCACAAATGTATTTTCCTTGTCTTCTCATATAAATTAAGACGGGATAACAAAAGTCTCATAATAAATTCAAATAATTAAAAATCAGTGTTAAAAAATGTGGATGCTATAGAGAGGGCTACTTCTAGAAATGCAAGGATTATTTCAGATCAGCATCTGTAAGGATTCATTGATTAATTTCGCCTATGACTACATCAATACAAATGGGTTTTATGGCACCTGATATATTTATTTTCACTCTTTTGCAATTGAAACTCCTACTTCTAATAACAGTTGAAAACTTGGTAGCCACAATGTTTGGATTCCAGAAGCAGAAAAAAATGGTGACTTCATATCTCAAAGAGTCACAGATTTGTCTTAATTTGGAAACTGGAGCTAAATAATTTATGAAATGTGAAGGAGTAGTATCATGTCAATGACACTGCTTCAGATGATCTTTCCTAAGCAGCTATTGATAATTTACATGTAAAAGGCCAAAAGCTAGGCGCTTTCTTTAATATCCTCTTTGCTCTTTACAGCAACTGTATGAATAGAGGTTAGTTATACCTATTTTATAGTTTATTTTATTAAAAAAAAAAACAACCTTAGAGCCCGTGGGATTAACTAACATGACCAAGGTAACACAACTAGTGAGAGTAGAGGTATTTTTTTCAAACAAAATTGTCTATTATTTATTTATTCTTCAGCAAAGATTAAATAGAGTATGTTGGAAATTCAGTCATGAATTCAATCTTTCAAAAACTATAATTTTTATTGTTCTATAACTGAATGGGATTTGATCTACAATATATATATTTTTAAGCAGAAGAATTTATCTTCCCAATTCAAAGTAACACAGAAGTTTCCAATATAAAATGGAATCAAATCAAGTTGTCTCTCTCTCTCTCTCTCTCTCCGTTTCCCTTTCCAGTCTTCCTTTCCTGGCACTTTCTTTTCCTTTCCTTGAAGTAACATAAATTCCAAGTGGACTTATTTTCCTGGAACTGAGGCAAGGACATCTTAGCCATGTAATGTCATGTCCCCTGAGTCTAACTGATCCTTCTTTGCCTAGGTATTATCTTCTGTTTCTGTTGCATCTGTTCTGGATGTCTCTGATGCACCATGACTTCCAGTTAACTGATCCATAGTCTACATATCCATTCTTCCAATGGTAAGGCCCTCACTCACATCTATTTCCTACCTTTCTTGTAGACAGAGTAAATTTATAAATCTCAACATGCTTGGCCTGGATGTGCAGAACTCTATAATATTGCTATGGTTCAAGCTAGTCCAAAAAGTATCTCAAGCAACCATTGATAACCTGAGACATTTACCATCTTGCTTATCTGTGTCCTGAGACTCATAAGTCATGGCATGTTCAGCTCTGAGATACCTCCAAACTTATCTGGTGTCTCCAGAGACATTTATTCTCCCTAGACTCAGCTAAAAGCATATAGCAAAGACTAAATCTCTTTCCAAAGACCCAGCAACCACTAAACAGAATGCACTTTTCCTCCAGTCTCTTTCCTGCCTTGTAGTTGAACCCATCTCCAAAAATGGCTCCTGGGGAGAAATCATAAAGCAGGTTGTCTGCAATCCATAATCTCCCTGGTTGCAGGAGGAGGGAGATAGGGGAGACACCCTGAGAAACTAAGAAGTTCCTTTAGCCAAATCTCCTTGTAATCATGCTGATGACAGTTCTGGTACACAAACTAACGATATTCACTCTCAAGAGAGTCCATATCTGTGAAAATATTTTAGCATGCTATACTTGATTTGTCTAGGAATGTTTGTACTAAACAAACATGGAGTCTATGAATTTATAGCACATGTCTCTCTGGAAAATGTCAGATAAACTATGCAACCATCTGGGAACGTGACAATGTATCATAGCAAAATGGTCCTCTTCTGTGTCATTTATGTAACCACGAATATTACACAGAGTCCCATACAGTAATCTGAGCCAGAGCACATCCTGACTGACAAGAAGTCACCCAGGCAACTACATTGAAGGTTCTGGTCTCTCACTTTCACCTATGCTTCATGATTACTTATCTTCCTGAAATTATTGGTAAAGTTTGCTATTAGGTAAGATTTCTTATTTGAGTGAGTCTGATTTGACAGTACAGTCCTTTGTGTTATCTCAATCCATTACCATCTTCTCTCACTGGTATAAACCCTAGGTTCTGAGTCATCCAGATCTGGTCTTTGGTATTTTTAAATAAGATTATAGATTTCACTAAAATGCTTTTCTCTTTAAAACACCTCAGTCTTACAATTAAAAGTAGGAATATCTGTGACTATTGTATGCTTGAGGCCGTGGACATAAAAGACCCTTATTGATTCTTGAGTGATGACTACAACAGTAAGGATAATGAGAATATTGAAAATACATAATCCAATATTAAGATATGAACTACTGCTTTTATTTGAGATGTTTACTATGGCAGCACCACAACATCATCTTTGGTACATTACAGTCACAATTTTGTTACTCCTGAAATCTTTTTTTCAACGTTTTGTTTTTTGTTTTTTGTTTTTTAATTTTTGGGACAGATAGAGACAGAGCATGAACAGGGGAGGGGCAGAGAGAGAGGGAGACACAGAATCGGAAACAGGCTCCAGGCTCTGAGCCATCAGCCCAGAGCCTGACGCGGGGCTCGAACTCACGGACCGTGAGATCCTGACCTGGCTGAAGTCGGACGCTTAACCGACTGCGCCACCCAGGCACCCCTCTCCTGAAATCTTAAATGAAATGAGTAATTAACTATTTTAGCTAGATGCCAAGGAATTATTAATAAAAATTATATTGATAATTTTTGTTAATAATAGTGTGAATAGTTTGATAAATTCCTATGTCATCTTATTTTTTCAAGTATTGTTTAAAAACAAACACAAAGGATTAGCAACCTCTGCAATTGTGCCTCTGATACGTACAGACAGATTGAGCAAAATATTCAATTATAACAATCAAATTGTGAGAATTGAATTTGTTGAACTCTTATTAAAAAGATTCTAAAACACTTTATCAGATATTATTTGAGTACCAGGAAAGCCACGTGCACAAATATATTGCTAAATATGCCACAAAATGATTGACTATTTTATAAACAAAATATGTCATATTCAGTGATTAAAGTCCAACAAATGTAAGATTCTAAGGTTTACATAGGACAAAATTTAATACAAAAAACTCCTTAGTGGGGCGCCTGGGTGGCTCAGTCGGTTAAGCGTCCGATTTTGGCTCAGGTCAGATCTCGCAGTATGTGAGTTCGAGCCCCGAGTCAGGCTCTGTGCTGACTGCTCAGAGCCTGGAGCCTGTTTCCGATTCTGTGTCTCCCTCTCTCTCTGCCCCTCCCCCATTCATGCTCTGTCTCTCTCTGTCTCAAAAATAAATAAACGTTAAAAAAAAAATTAAACTCCTTAGTAATCTACACAAATTAGGTACTTGCCTTACGATATAAATAATATTTTCAACTATAACTGAAATTAACTATAAATGAATAAAAAACATTATTATTACAGAAGAAAAAGACAAAACATTCTGAGTTTTCCAAATGAATCTACTATTATGGACCAAACTATACGCCACTATACATAAGAATTAAATTATTTTCCTATTAAAATTAAGTATATTTCAACTGATAACTATTAGTTTATTTTTAATGTGTCTTTTTGGTATTTTTATCAGTGATATAAAAGAACTAAAAAAATTTTATGAGTATGGAAAGAGAAAAATACAAATAATTTATTTTAAGGTAAGAGTTAATGAAAATAGTTACTATTATTTTCTATGATTGAAAATTTTTCCAATTTAAAACTTAGAATTTCTGTGAATTCAGTTCTGCAAATATGCATTGCTTATGAAAAATGGAATTTTTATTACTAGAAGAAAATTTCAGAATATAAAATTTTAAAATCTAGAGCTTTCTACGGGACCTTGAGGAGACGTATTATGATAGTGTTTCCTAAGGCAATATATTTTAGGAAGTAAAAGTGACAGTGTGGCTCTTGGGCAAATCTATACATTTAAATGAAAACTGCATTGATGGTGTGTCTATACAAAACATTTTTTGTACCAATGATATGTTATTATATGGTGCCAAGTGGACTTTGTATAATATTTATCTTCATGACTCAGATCTAACTATAAAGAACCAAACCAGCAACTGCTCAAATTTACGTTACTTTGCGTCATATTATTAGAGAACACAAAGTACTCCAAGCACCATTTAGACAAGATACTTCACTAGATAGAACCTGTTCTGCTTTTAAGGTAGAGCTGCCCAGGCAAAAACCTCCTCAAGTGAAATAATAACCCAAATGTGTGTGTTACTAGAATGATGTTTTGTGTAAATATATCACACAGTGTAGTGTACAATTTAGAATAACTTCAATATAGTGTTATCTGTCACAATATGGCATATATTAGGCTTTTGGCTCTTTTTTTAATGTTTACTTATTTTTGAAGGAGGAGAGAGAGACAGAGAGAAAGAAAGAATCTGAAGCAGGCTCCAAGCTCTGAGCTGTCAGCACAGAGGCCTGTATGGGGCTCAAACCCACGAACCGTGAGATCGTGACCTGAGCCGAAGTCAGATACTTAACCAACTGAGCCACTCAGGCGCCCCTAGGCTTTTGGCTCTTTTAAACGTGATCTTATTTACCAAGAATTTTTATATTGTATATATGACTATAAAAAAAAAACACACAGAAAAGTTTCTATTCTTTATTACAGTTGGTTACACAGTCCAAATGCATGCAGCATCCTTTGGCTATAGTATGGAAAAACGAACTTACAGCTATTAATACAAAAAATGAAAAGAAAACACTGCTGCAAATTAAAAAGAAAAGTGATTTCTGGATAAAATAATGACAATTCCAAAAGAAAAAAATGTGTTTTCCAGTCTGTGGGTATCCCTACATGGAAAAGTTTTCTGTGTATTAGGCAGCAAATAAGCCTTTTTCCCTGATGAATCTTTGTCAGTTTACTGTCAGAACAGAATGGGGCAAATTAGTTTGAATTAACCATTTAGACCACATATGCACAATGCCTAATAGTCTGTGACTTGTCTGATAAACATTGAAAATTTTATTTTACAAATTCTTGTTTGACTAATTTTAATTTTTTTCTAAATTAAAATTCAGTTTAATGAGTTTATGAGTTTAGATCAATGGTTTTCAATCTAGAACATTGGATCCCTAAGTTCACACCAAAATGGACTCAAAACTAACAATAATGATGCTAATGATGATATTGATAAAATAATCAGAAACAACATTTATTGTGTGCCTACTGTACTCCAGGAACTGTTCCATATATTCTATGTGTATTCAATATTTAATCTTTACAACACAGCTGTGAAATTAGTATTTTTCATTTTACAGATGAAGCGATTAATGCAAAGGTAGATGAGGTAGCTTTTCCCAAGATCATTTAGTTAGTAACTGGCTAGTTAAGATTCGAACCCAAGCAACCTAAATATTTTAATCATTATGCATATTATCTTCCAAGATAGTCATGGGAAGTCCATGAACTATTTTCAATTCTAAACTATCTTATAAATATTGCATATTTTTCTATTTTGGATAAACTAACTTAAATGCTATTTCTTTTACTTTGGTCAAAATTGTGTGAAATCAGAGTGATAACACTAATTGATTACAAATAATAATCAGAAGTCCACAGACGTCTTGGGGCATAAGGAAGATTATGACTTATGTGTTGTCTCACAACCATTTGATAAGAAAGTTAAAACAAGAAAACCTAGATTTCTTGGTTTCTTTCCAATATGTTTCTGAACCTCTATCTCTCTAATATAATACTATATCAGAATTTCCTTCACACAATGTTTTATATTTTTCCTGAACTTTCTAACCTTAGCACATTTAAAATATCTGGAGCTAATGCTTTAAAGACTTGCAAACTTTTAAAGTGGCTTCTATGCTCAAAAAATATGAAACAAGGTATAAAACCCACTTTTTATCCAGTCAGCACATCCTTTGGTAACATATTCCATTTCTTCTATCTAATTTTAAGGTGCCCAGTTGCAATGGTGTATAACAACCTGATAAGGTTTCATTGCAAAATTCAGTCACAGGGTAGGTCAATCTGAAAAAAATAATGTTCACATAAATCCAACCTGGATCAAAATTTTTATTGCAGACATGAAA